TCTATATTCTGTTCATCAAAGTACCCTGTGGAACAATTTTTAAATTATTATTTATACATCATGTGATGTGTAATATACATGATAATTTTTTTTAATTGCAATATTTTGGCAAACAGAATACAGTAAATACTATTATGCGAAATTTTCTTTTCAAATTATAGCTTCTCTACATAATTTTTTAGTTATTAAATAAAAGTTATTTTTTTTAAATTTTATTGGGATCTTTCTCAAAATGATCATGAATTGCATATAATTGCTGATGTGCCAACAAGATGGAATTCTTCGTATCTTGCTTGGCAACAGCTAATTAAAATTCGAAATATAATTGACCCAATGATTACAATGCTATCTTTAGATAAAAATTACCAAACACAAAAAGAAGTTGTACAATTAAAAAAAATTAATCTTACTGATACTGAGTGGGAAGCTATAAAAAGTCTTATTGCAATACTTGAACCATTTGCAGAGGCTACTGATTTATTAGGAGGTAGTAAATATGCAACAATAAGTTTTATGTATAGTGCAATTAAAGTGATTACTAATAGTCTTATGCTCATTGATGATTTGTACTCTGAGAAGTAGATTATGATGATGATGAAAGTGCTTTAAATGATGATCAAATGGATGTTGAGTCGAATATTCCTTATGATTGTTTGAATATTGAAAAAAGGATAAGAATGGCATTGTACAATGCTATTAAGCATTATTGGCAAATGCCATCAGAAGAAGGAATGTTGGCTGCATTACTAGATCCTCGATGCAAATCATTGAGTTTTACTTCAGAATCTTTAAGATTTAGAACTCACAATTCATTGTATGAAGCATATAGACAGCACCAAAGTCAAATAGATGTATCATCTATTAAGCAACCATTACAGCCTAAAAGCAAATTATTAGCTACTATGTATCGATCAAATAATACATATATGGATGAAATTTCTGACTATATTGGAATGCCAGAAATTTCTTATGACTAATGCCTATTTGAGTGGTGGAAAAATAATCAAAGTCGTTTTCCAGTTCTAGCTTATTTGGCAAGAAAATATCTAGCTATTTTAGCCACTTCAACACCTAGTGAAAGGCTATTTAGTGAAGCTGGAAATATTATGTCTATTAAAAGAGCAAATCTTTTATCTATTACACTTGAGCATTTAATTTTTTTAAACAAAAATCGTCATGCTGTTGTTGATATTTTTCTAAGTAAGAAAAAATAAATTTAAGTTATAACAAGAAAATTTTTTCTAAATGCATATATTAATAAAATATTTGTTTTAGAACAAAATTATATTAAAGCGAATAAGTAGTATTTTTTTTTGAGCGTAAGGATACAATATTATAAAGTTTATAATATTTTTTTTTTTAATTATTTACAGATTGATGTAAATAATATATAACTAATCTTAATTACTTTATATTAAAATCGAATTTTATCAATTTTAAGTCGATTCAAGTTGTAATAGAATTCTGAATAACCCTGAATAGTAAGAAAATTTAATATCTATTTAATATATTGATTTAAATTAATTGGACTAACAAATATTATAATAAATCTTTCAAGAATCTTTTTTTTAAACCAAGCCTGATCGAATATAAACTTTGTGAGATTTTAAAAATAACATGTATCAAATTAAGTTGGGTGTTCTTGAATAATAGTACAATTGAAATTCTTCTTACTTGGTTTAAGCAATTTTTTTTTTTTTTTTAAATTATACATATGTATATTGCAATCATTATATATAATGTAGTCACATTGAATTATTTTGCAATAAAATATGACCTGTTAATGATTGCATACATTTATTTATCCAACAGGTCCTATATGCGCACTGGATGTTTTCTGTATATATTATTCGATCACTTTAGAAAAATTAAAAAAACAAAAGGAACAGGCCGAAAAAACAAATGAATTTCTAATCATGTGATAACTCAATTTTCTGATTTTATTTTTTTTTGCATAACTTATAAAATTCATAAAGGAAAAAAGTAAAAAAAGTTAAATGAAAAAAATGATGAACAAAAGTGGAAAAGTAAGTGTCATAGTCAGGAACAGTTCGATAAAAAAATGTAGATCCCAAATTATGTGATAAAAGGAGTAACAATAGAGGGAGGATGGTAATGGAGAAAAAGATAAATGAAGTGAGAGTTAGTTTCGTGTTTGAACAATGATCTTGTGACCACGGGCCATCAGTCAAATCATGGGTGATTAATTATCAGGGTGATTATAATAAGAATCAATTAAGAATCAATTACGATGCATAATAAATGTGTAATTAAGATAAGAATCAAATACCATATGACTGATTAATTATGTAATTAATTTTAAGAATTAAGAATCATATGATAAATTTATGATATAATGATAAGAGTCAAAATATGTATATAAGCAGAATGAAAGATAATAAAAAATAAGTCAGTACACTTTTCTCACAAAAGAATCGATCAAATAAAAATACTAGTGCTAATACATGAAACTTTACCTAAATATAGAAGCACTACTAATTCTCTTTACTTGGTCAACATTTACTTGCATGGTCAGTAGAAACTACAACAGTAAGCAAACGTAAAAAAAGAGTAAAAGTGAGTCTAATGATTAGAAAGACTGAATAATATATACAAAAAATGATAGTGCTTACATTGGACTTTACAGATAAAAATATTATTGTTATTAGTTAAGTTGTAATGAAAACTAAGGTTATAACTGGATATAAACAGATATAACTATTACCTTTTTACTCTAATAGAGTATAAACCTGGTTATTAGATTTTATTAAAGGGTATAACCTTTCGGATAAAGAGTTAACTAGGTACAAACACTAATCGATAGTGAATATTTGGATAATCATCTATATAATATTTGTATTATAGCAACTGTTACTAATAATTGGGTTAGGATACTTGTAATGGTGGTCACACCAGTATGACTGGCAGGTTATAAGGCATTTGTGTAAATATGGCATTATATAGAGGAATGCAAACTGACAAATCAGGTGATGCAAATACTAGATAAGTTCTTGTGGCTATGTAAATTCATTGAAATTGGGTAACAAGAAGTCCATTTAAGAAGACCTGAGTAGAGAGGTAGCTGGATCTTTGATGACCCTACTGTAAAGGCTAGTTCAAGAAAACAAATACCAAGGTTGTAGTATCTGGTTATAGTAGTCAGATAGGCAAGAACCTCTGGATTAAGAGTCTCAGAGGTACTACCAACCAGGTTGTTAGAACAAATTGAAGAAAAAAGATATTAGGCTGACCTGATATACTAATAGATTAGTCATAGTTCTACACAAACTATCTGAATTGGGAGTTTGGTAAAAAGGCTGGTAAAAAAGCAGAGGTATACTAAAGTACTAGAGTTATGTTATGAAATAGATGTTAGAATCTAAGTGAACTCTACAAAGGCATAGCAGTTCAATAGTTAGCCCTGACTACAAGTGTTAGTTCTGCCATAGTGATACCTAGATTAGTTGTAAAAATAGATACAGAAGGCTCTGAAGGGTTTATTTTAAGGATAAATTAGTTCTAAGGTTGAGATGATGATCTGGGCATCTAAGTATGACTCAGTGAGTTAATATAGGTTACAGATTTAGAAGATTTAAAATAGAACACCCAAGCAGAAATGTTAGGTATAGCAATTGGTAAGAAACCTTCAGGCAGACTCCTTAAATAAGTAATATAGAAAAGTTACATATATAGCCAATTGTATTCTCTCCTATAGTAGTTTATTGAATCACAATACCAATAAGTGATTAATAAAAGTCAAAAGACCAAAGAGGCCATCTTAATACTAAAAAAAAAAAAAAAAGCTAGTTTATTAAAAGCATTTAAACTTGCTACTAATTATATATTTTTTATTAGAAAAAAAATAAATACAAAATTTATAAAAAGGTTTTTTTTAAAATAAGGTTAAACCTTTAATTTCCTTTGCTATTCCTTTATAAAATCAAAAATCAGTCTTTTATTACTTCTTTTTTTATACTTTTGTATGTTTTTATTATTATTACTATTTTTATTTTTATAGCTTTTTTTTTTACTGCTATTTTTCTTCTCATCTTTTTCTTTTTTCTTCTTTTCTTTTAACTTTTATTTTTGTTCTCATTACTATAATTGCTTTTATTATTTTTATTTTCATTTACTGTTCAATCAGAAACATTATTAGACCAGAATACTATTAGTATATATAATAGTCAATAAAGATGTTTAAAATTAGGTTTTATAATTATATCAAGAACATTATATAATGATTAACTACCTATTAAAATAAAAAATTAAAATTTTATATAATAAAAGGATATGGCAACTTAGTAAAATAAATAAGTTGTCATCCCTCCAAGTAGTAAGTTGAAAGTTTAAAATCTACTGATATTAAAAATTTAAAAAACCATCTATGTTATATCAGTATTATAGAAAGTAAGTAGTATTATAACAATAGAACTTCATCAATCAGTTGGGATCAGATATCTGTAACATAGTCACACTAGTATGACTAGCAGGTCATAGAACATTTGCACAATGTTGGAGTTATACAGAAGAATATAAACTAGTATTGGATAATACAAATACAAGATAAGTCTTTGTGGTTATATAAATCCATGAACTAAAAAACTGAAGCCCACTTAAAAAGACCTGAGTTATTTGAATTAAAAGTTTAAATTCTAAAGCAAGGTATAGCTAAGTATTAGAGATATGTTATAAAGTCAGTACTAGAACTTTACAAGAGTAAGTCCTATTAGCAAAAATTAAATATAAGTAGTTAGTTAGCAAAAGGGCCTTCTGGAGCTCTACAGTCAGGTAACATACTATTAAATATATAACATCTTGATGGATATACAGACAAGGAGGTCAGAGTTAGGTTAGATAGCACCTAATTAGATGTATAGGAGCTTGTGCATTATCTGCTAGTATAGTATAGAAGTAACCTTGTACAAGTTATATAATCATAATTAAATTCACAATAAAGGCAGTAGTCACTAATAACTAATAGCTTTAGTGAAAACAAAAAAAAATTTTATATAATTAATAAATTAAGAATTGAAATATTGAATTTTATTATATATTCAATTAATTTTAGATATGTCAACTAATATGCTATATAATTATTTAATTTTTTTTTTTTTTTTTAAACTTTGGCGACAATGCCAGTTGGTTTTTATTAGCTTTAATTTTAATATAGTACAAATTTATGGTTACATTTTAGGATCGATTATTACTAGTACTATATATTATCTAATTTAACACC